GAGCTGAATCGACCCACTCGTCGATTATCTGCTCCACGGGACCCTGCCAGTAGAACGCAATGCAGCTCAGAGGGTAGAGCGACAGTCAGCCCGATACGTTTTGATCGATGAACGGCTGTATAGGAGATCATTCACGCTCCCTTACCTACGTTGCTTGCGGCCTTCAGAAGCAGATCAAGTACTGCGCAACATCCACGAGGGACTCTGCGGAGGACACCTGGGGGGCAGGGCACTTGCCCATAAGGCACTAAAGGCAAGGATATTACTGGCTTACCATGAAGGCAGATGCCCTTGAACTCGTCAAGAAGTGCAACAACTTCCAAAGGCATGCCAACATCCCCCGACTACCTACTGCTGATTTGAAATACCTCACCAGCTCGTGGCATTTTGCTCAATGGGGGATAGACATTCTCGGACCTTTCCCCCCAATAATCGAGCAAAGGAAGTTCCTGGTCGTGATAGCAAATTACTTCACGAAGTGGGTAGAGGTCGGGCCCTTGGTAACCATTACGGACCTCAACGTGCAAAACTTCTTCTGGAAAAACATAGGGTATCATTTTGGACTACGTTGCGTGTTGATATCCGATAACGGCAAGCAGTTCAAAGACATCAAGTTCCAGAACTACTGTGTCAAGATGGAAATCCAGCAAAATTTCACCTCGGTAGCACACCCGCAAGCAAACAGACAAGCTAAAATGACAAACAGGGCGATCCTCCACGGACTGAAAGCTCGCCTGGCCCGAACTAAGGGATTATAGGTAGAGGAGTTGTCCAATGTCCTTTGGGCATACCGAACCACTATCAGGACCGCCACTGGAGAAACACCCTTCAACCTCACGTATGGTACAGAGGCAGTGATCCCAATAGAGATTGATGGTGCCAACGTTGCAACTCGAGGCTTACGACGAGGAAGCAAACAATGACGAGCTCTGTACCAACCTGGACTTGATAGAAGAGATACGGGACTTGGCCTACATTCGGACAACGACTTACTAGCAGAGAGTAGCTCGGTACTATAACGCCTGGGTCAGGAAGTAACTATTATGAGTCGGCGATCTGGTTCTTCACAAGGTAATGGTACCCTAACCCAGTGTGGGAAAGCTCGGTCCAAATTGGGAAGGCCCCTATCAGGTGAGATGGGTGTTTGGAAAAGGAACTTATGAGCTCAAGACCATGGAAAGAAAACAGGTACCTCGAGCTTGGAACAACAACAACTTAAGGAGATACTACCTATAAATCTCAACAAACGGCTAAGTCCATAGATCACCAAGCTGATCCTATGGACAACGGACTGGAGAGAGGGCCTTAAGTCACTCCTATAAGCCTAAGGTCTATAGTGCCAAGCCGACAAAAGATCTCGGCACCACATGGGACTCAGTCGCCTCTTTGTCATGTGCAAGATCAAGGATAAGGAGAGTGGACTTTAAGTCACTCCTAGGAGCCTAAGGGCTAAGGTGCCAAGTTGATAAAAGACCTCGGCACCACATAAGGGCTAAGGTACAGACAAGTTGGGCATATGTACCCTACAGTGTTTTCCCCCACCCCGACATTCAATAACGATTGAATACCTATTTGAGTTTGGGAGTAACCTCGAGTTCGGGAGTGAGTTATACTTGGAAAAATTTTGCTCCTATATGGTCTAGCTCGGCACTTCGGGATAACCAACACTTAGAAAGATTTTTTTTTGAAATTTTGTATTTCATTAAATAAAGATTTGAAAGTACATAGCAAAACAAAAGAAAGAAGAAGAAAATACAAAACTAACTACAGTTTCAATCGAGCATGAAGGCTCGGGATATGCACATAACTACAAGAGGGTCCAAGAAAAGAGGCAAGTTCAGACATCGGACTTTCTAGAATCTCCTCCATCTGGTAGTTCGGTCTCCATGTGGTCCTCCTCCACGTCGTTTCGGCCTGCCTTCTCTAACGGTCTCACTTCGAGGAGTTCATCATCACTTTCTCCCTCTGAGGAGTCACGTTCCTTGTCGGTCTCCTTCTCCATCTCTGGAGTAACGGAAGACATGGAAATGGATCTGAGATCAAACTCAGGGAACTTTCACCGCACCAGTCATCTACAAAGCTTGAAGCCCGATCGATACGAGTTGGAGCTGTACTCGACTTGGAGGTCATGAAACTCGGGGGACTTCTTGAACTCCTTGACGGCATGATCTCTTTCCCAAATCCTCTTCTCTTGAATTGCGGTGTCAAAGATTTCGGTGCGCTCCTTGATCATTGCCTCAAGGCTTTCATTCTCCCGACGGAGAGCTTCCTTCTCCCCCTTAAGCTTCTTCTTCTCCTCCATTAGTAGCAGAATCAGTTCCTCTTGGCTCTGAGCTTCTTTCTTTGTCCTAAGAATTTCACCCTGAGCTAGGTCCAGCTCGCGATAAAGCTTTCGGGTGTTCTCTTTGGCCTCCTGAACTCCTCGCTTCAAGGAGATGTCAAATTGATAGAGTAGCGAGTAGATAGCAAAGGTCACAAGTGTAAATATTACGAAAAAAAGTATAAGAAAATAAATGAAGAGGTAGCTTACTTACCACCGTACATTAGTTGCCTGCTATTCCTAAATTGGTGAGAGTTGTTCTCACCTCTATGGTCTAATGGTGAGAGTTGTTGGCTGCTCTTCCTTGGGAATTGAAAACGTAAACTTTAGGGCAAGATTTAACAAAACGTAAATTTATAGGAATATTTTAGTAAATAACCAATAGTTTATTATTTGATTATTAAAATCCATTGTTGCCACATGCTTCACATATGAAGTCGGAGAAGCTGCTGTAACTCTGTGAGTGAGTTCGCGCAGGAAGAAAGAAGAAAGAAGAAATAAATCTCATCATCACGAAGGTAAAATTGATCGCGTAGTTTTTCATTCAATTGCAGATTTTGGAGAAAACCTTGAACTGAAATTCGAACTGCTTTTTTTTTTAGCAAGAAAAGAGCAGGAGATTTGAACAGGTTTCTCTGTTTCTTACAATATTTTACCATAATGCAGTCCATGTTTTCATTGATTTCGAGGAATTTCAGAAGATTTTGCCTTTTCGGTTGTTGGATTTACATTTTGAGATTGATTTTAGTTAAAAGCAACTGCATTGCTGTTTACTGGATTTTTCAGTTATTTGATCATAATGTGGAGGCTTAAAATCGCCGAAGGAGGAAACTCGTGGCTTCGGACAACAAACAATCACGTCGGAAGACAAGTRTGGGAGTTCGACCCCAAGCTTGGAACGCCGGAGGAGATTATGGAGGTTGAGAAGGCTCGAGAAGGTTTCCAGAAGCGTCGGTTCGAGAAGAAGCATAGTTCAGACCTTCTGATGAGGATTCAGGTGAAAGAAAGAAGAGAGCTGCTTTTATTTATTTATTTATTTTTTGGGTTTTAGGAAGAAGCCTCGTGACGTTAAGGCATTGGAGACGTGTTTTCTTTAATCCTGGTTATCCGCCCTTCTATAATTTTCTATAAATTAACTAGATATGTGACTAGGAAATTGTATTCTTTGTTTGTTGTTGACCGTTGTTTGTAATCTCAGCTTGTGTCAATGGTCATAGAATTTCCAAAAAGAGAATTAGACATGCTCTAGAGTTCATACTTCGTTTAACTTGCCAACTAGACCTTCTACCACCCAAAACCCAAGTCTTTCATACTCCAAGCTTACTTGATTTTGCTATATTTTATCCGTTTACTAATCATTATCATTCAGGTTCTAAAATTTCTAATACCAGGTTCAGAGTTGCAACCAGGTAGAACAGATTGAAATTATTTTTATTTTTAATAAAATTAAAAATTGTATAAATATGATGCAAAAATTTCAAAATTTTCTATCCTTTTCCCATATAAATAGTAGCTGCCAGAAACAACACATAAGGAATTAATGATATGATCAGCATCTCTAAGTAGAATTCAAATTTCTTCTCTAACTCATTCAAGGAGTATAAATTTAGAAACCCCATACTCAAAATGTAACAAGTGATTGTAATTTAATTCATAGTAATTAATATTTTGGTCATCCATTTTTTTGCAGTTTATTGTTTCTTTTCTGAAATTAAATATATAAATTAATTAAAACATCTTGAAAGTGCAAGTTAGTAATGCAATTTTCTAGGATGTCTTAAGATATTCCATAAGTTTTTGTCTTGGAACACCTTATGTACTCAATTGAGGATTATCCTAGCTATTTACTATCCATTCTAATGAATGATATCTATCTATCTATTGGTAAGTAAAGTATAGTTGGGATAAGGCTTGGGTGATGATGATGGCAAGTATAGTATTGTAAAAAACCATTACCAATGTTGGTCCCAACTATTTGAGGTCTTGGTAGGTGTAGACTGGATATGGTCCTAACCTTTGGCATTTTGTTTTTTCACAAAGTGGCTGCTCTCAGACTTCAAGCTGCATTCTCTTGCTTGCCAGGCCTAGAGTATTTTATCATAAGTGAATATTTATATTATATTATTTGCACTACAAGGAATATGGTAGTGCAAATGTAGAACAAATGCACAAAAAATGCACTATGCTTTTTTTTTAATTTTATATAAAAAAGAAAAAGAAGCTTTATTGAAGAGATCGCTTTTATTTATCAAAGAAAAAGAAGTTTGGAGAGTTCAAACTTGAAGACATCCCTTGAACTTGATGTGATCTTTTTTTATGAGTAACATTATTAAAGAAGCTTTATTTGTGATGAATGTGAAAATAAAAGTTAAAGGTATACCTTCTTCATATGACACACTCAAATAAGGGAAACCAAGTGCATAGCAGCAAATACATCGTAGAAGAAGAGTTCTGTTTATGATGAATGAGAAATTAAAAGTTAAAGACATACCTTCATATGACAAACTCAAATAAGGAAAACCATGTGCATAGCACCAAATACATCGTATAAGAACAGTACAATCTATCCTATGCTTAAAGCCTCCAATACAGCTGTGCTTTCCCCTGATACAATTTTATTTTTTCAGACAAGAGTCTAAAAGAAAATTTTCATTTAGGAGGTTGGGTACATAAAATTCAACTTTGATGGCAGCAGTAGAGGGAACCTTGGGCCTTCAGGTGTAGGAGGTGCACTCCATAATGAAATAGGGCATGTGCTGGTCCTGTTTTAAGGTCTGATTGCTATTGGAGATTCCTCAAAGGCTGAACTGTTGTCAGTTTTGGAAGGTGTAACTAGAGCAAAGGAGCTGAGTGTGCATAAATTGATTATTGAAGGAGATTCAAAACACTAGTGATCAAGTAGCTTTTAAACAAAGGGAATCATTTGTGGATATACAACAATGAGTTCAAAAAGTTTAAATGGATAACCAGGGGAGCGGATCAGCGGATATTAAAATTCAGTGGGTGCAAAGGATGGCTAACAACATGTCTACCCTAGTTTCCTTAGTCCCATCCATTTTGATGTGGGATGGGGTAATAAAGTACATTTGTGGGAAAATCTATGGGTAGGGGAAGCCCCACTTAAAGACCAATTCCTGAACTCTTTGCTCTTTTAAACTTTAAGTGAGAAACCATGTCTTTTTTGGGAACACCTTGTCAAACGGTGTAAATTGGAACTTGGGTTAGGGGGTGTATTCTGAGGTACAGGAGGTGGGGTACTAGCGCTCTACTCAGGTGCTGTAGAGCAAGGGGATTCACTGACAGCAAAACTAATGGTTTTGCTTCAAGGGCTGAAACTTGCAAAACAGCTTGGCTTCCAAAGGTTAGAAGTGGAAGGAGACTTTCAGGTGGTGATTTCCTGGACAAAATTTCATTGCCAAACCCCTTGGATGTACAGGCAAAGGATTAGAGAAATTGAAATGATAACAAGGGGACTGAGTGTTACATTTAAATGGGTGAGAAGAACTGCAAATGGCATGGCAGATACATTAGCTAAACAGGGGGCAAACCGGCAAACAGGCAGCACTTATTTTGGGCTAAACTTTAAGTAGGAATGGCAATGGGTAGGGTACCCGTGCAAATTGCCAAACCCATTCCCGAACCCGCCTATGTATCCCTGATTCCAAACCTGTCTCAAACCCGTCAAACTTTTCCTCTCAATTTCCCAAACCCGTTAAACCTGTCCCAACCCATCCCACCCGTTAAACCCCTTGACCAAATGTTTTCTACTAAAAAAATTTTCTTAATGCTTATAGTGTGACTTGAACCCGGATCAATTAATGATAGCGCCAAATCTCTTAACACTACTTTAAGCCACTAAGCCATCTCACCTTTTCTGTTATTTAATGAAATAAAATAGATTTTATTAACTTTTGTGTTCATCAAAACAATCAATACATGTATATGATTAACAATTCCAACTAAAAATTAAAAGAAATAATATTTAAAATTAGCATTTTATAACTAAATGAAATAAACAATCTATCAAATCCAAATTTACATCAAATGATGATTTTAATCCCAAGAAATTTATACAAATAAAATATTAGTAATAGAATAATTATCTTAGTACTTAAAAATTATAAATTTGTGCATGATATATAATATAATAGGTTCATATTTATGCATCCCGGGTATCGGGTATCGGATACCCTAAAGTCAAAACCCAAACCTGTCCCAAACCCTATAGGTTTTTATCTAAAATCCCAAATCTGTCCCAAACCCTATAGGGTTTTGATAAACGGGTCCTATTAGGGTTGGGACGGGTCAGATACCCAAAAATTCCCGTGGAATTGCCATCCCTAACTTTAAGGCTGATTTTGGGGGATTGCATTTTTAGTTGTATCTGTTTACCATATGGGTGTAAGTAAACTACCCATAATTTGTAAGCTCAATTTTCACATTACGATTAATAAAAGTTACCTTTGCTGATTAAAAAAAAAAGGAACTTGGGTTTTAGGAGAAGCTTAAGGGAAAATGAATGTGAGTCCTTAATCCATTTGCTGGACTTGTTAGGGCAAGTTTTTCTAGACCTGTCGCTGGAGGATTCTAGAATTTGGTTAGGCTCTTTGGATGGTCTCTTCACTTGTTCCTCTTTTTTCAGAGTACTTGCCTTGGTTAACCTCCTTGTAGGAGACTTCCCTATGAAAGAAATATGGAGTAAGCCTATCCCTCTAAAAATTTAGCCCTCTATTGGGAAATCTTCATTGGTAAGGTAAATACTTGTGATATGCTGCAAAGAAGGCCTTATGCTTGCCTTTCTCTTCACATGTTCTCCCTTTGTAAGGAAAGTGGTGAGGCCCTATCTCATTCATTATTCTCCTGTACCTTTGTGCATCAAATTTGGGTGTTTTTTTTTTTTTCTTGTGTTCTATTTGACTGTAGGTGAAAGAAAAGAGGGAAAATAATGTGGAGAGCTACGAAGGCAGCAATTTGTTGGGTGGTTTGGGAAGAAAGGAATAACAGGATCTTCTTGGAGAAAAGCAGGACACTAGATTTAGCAATAGTTTATTATTTGATTTAGAGATGTTCTTATCCCAGGGAAGAGCTGCCTCTGTTGGCTGCTCTTCCTTGGGAATTGAAAAAGAGATGTTCTTATCCCCAAATTGGTGCATCCTCTGCTGGTCTAATGGTGAGAGTTGTTCTCACCTCCTACTTTCCTATCCTTTTTTTTTATGGGAAACGGTAACTTCCATTAAAATTTAAGGAATACTTTCCTATCCTTTTATTGCTGACATTTGGAATTGGTGTTTCTCTTTATTTGGGTGCAGGTGGATTTTTCCAACAGAGGTAAGCCTTTTGTTTAACCTGTTTGTGTTCAGTTGGCCCAAGAAAAAGGGGAAGAATAATGTGGAGGTATATAAGAGCAGCTTTGATTATTGCTTGGGAAGAAAGAAATGCATGAACCTTCCCAAAAAAAAGAGAGAAGCAAGGACATGATAAAAGAGTGTCTGGTTACTCTGGGAATACATTGGATCAGAACTTTTGATTCATTATCACTCTTCTCCTTTGATGATCTTTGGAGGAATTGGTATGCAGTGGCAAGGAGTTTTGCCAAAAAGGAAAGACCAACCTTATGGATGCCTCCCTCCAAAGGATTCATGAAACTGAATTTTGATGGTAGCAGCCAAAGCAACACAAGTCCTAAGTTGGTGGTAGGATGGCTGAAAGACACATTGTTGCTTTGTATTTGGAACCAATGAGAGTGGAAGATTCATAAGGGCTGAGATGATGGTGGTCTTGCAAGGAATTCAGATTACACATGAGCTAAATATGGAGAATTTGGTAGTTGAAGGTGATTCTAAGTTGGTGGTAGGATGGCTGAAAGAGCTAGAATCAGCAATCTGGTGTTATAGAAATGAAATGAAGATACTTAAATGGCTTACAAGAAATATGACATTAAGAATATGATGGGTGAGAAGGTTGGCTAATTCTTGTGCTGATACACTAGCCAAACAA